TTTACAATTAGAACAATATTCTATTTTTCTAAATTATTATTTTAATATATTAATTATATATTTTAATAAAAATATAAATAGATTTATATAAAATGCTTACTTTATTTTATTTTAAATTTTTTAATATTATATTAATTAATATTTTTAAAATAAATATTAGTATAATTAAATAATAATAAAATAGGTTAAATAAATATAAAATAATTTACTAACTAAATTAATATTTTTTTTAATTTAAATTAGATTATTTAATGATGAAGATGATAAAGAAATATATGATAAAGATGATGAGGAAATAAATGATATATATGAAAAAGAAATAGATAATGAAAATTAAATGAAAATAGATGATAAAGATAATGATAAATAAATTGATAATGAAGATAATAATAATGAATATAAAAGTTATAATAATAAATAATATAAATAAAATAAATAACTCACATTCTATAATATTATTAATTATATAAATATAAATATTTAATTAAATTATAAGATATACAGTATAATTAATAATAAGTTAAAATTACTTACTTTCTATAATTAATTAATTAATAAAAGATTTTTAATTTTTTAAATATAATTATTAATATAAATATAAATATAAATAAATAAAAAGATAATTTACCTTCTATATAATTATTAGTTTGAAAAAATTAAAAAATTTAGTTTAGAATTAAAATAAAATAATTTAATATTATTAATTAATAAAGAAACTTACTATCTATATAATTAAATATTTAAGATATAAATTTAATTAATTTATATTATATTTTAATAATATAATAAATTAATAAAACTTTGCTTACCAATTAAATAGATTAATTTTTTTTTAATAAAATTATTAGATTTAAATTTAATATATAATTGATTGTAATTATATTTTAAAAATAACTTACCTCCTATAATATTTTTTAATAAAAAAATATTAGATAAATTCAATTAAGATAAATATAATAAATATAAATAATTAAAAAATAACTTACCATCTAAATTATCAAATTTTTGAATTTAAATTATAATAAAAGTTTAATATAGTATAATAATAAAATTATTTACAAATATCTTATTTAAAATACTTACAATCTTATTTATTTTTAATAATTTGAAATTTAAATTTTAAATTAATTTTAATAATTTTAATAATTTAATAAAAATGATATAAATATTAAACTTACTATCTAAAAGATTAATATTTTTAAATAAATTTTTATTAAATTTAAATTATAGTAAAATGTATAATTAATTTTAATTAATAAAAATAATTTACATTCTATATTAATAAATATTTTTTTTAAAAAAAAATTTGTTATTTATTATACAAATTTATAATTTAATTTAAATAATTAAAATAATAACTTACTTTCTAAATATGAATTTTTTTATAATTATATAAAATTATTAATAAAGTGATATATAATAAATTAAAATTATTAATCAACAAATATAAATTACCGTCTAAATTATGATATTTTATTAAATTTAAATATATTTTGATAAAAATTATAATAAAAAGTAAAAATTAAATAAATAATAAATAAAAAATCTTACTTTCTATAATTATATAAATTATTATAAAATTAAATTATATAAATTTGTAATAATAATCGAATTTTTAATATAATTTACCATCTAATTTATTTATTTTTTTTTAAAAATAATATTTTAATTAGATTTAATTATAATAAAAAAATATAATTAATTTATAAATATATTATACCATCTAATTTATTTAATATAAATTCATATTAATTTAAAAATTAAATTATTGTAAAAGATTATAAATAAAGTATTTTACCATCTAAATTATTAAATTTAAGATTATAATATTAGTAAAATTAAAATATAATAAAAATAATAATAAATAATTTATTTATAAGAATACTTTCCATCTAATATAAATTTTTTTTTATAATTAATATAAAGGTTAAATTTTTTTTAGAATTAATATTTAATTAGTTATACTTACAATCTAATGATTTTATTTTTTTTAAATTAAAAGATTTGAATTAATTTAAAGCATAATATATATATATAATAATTATTAATAAAAATATTTACAATCTATAAAATTAATTTTATTAAAATAAAAAAAAATGAAACAGATAAAATTTATAAAAAAAATAATTAATAAAATTAATTTACCTTCTATATTATTATTGATTAATTAATTTTTAAATTTAAATAATTATAAAATTGAATATAATTAATTACGAATAATATATTTACCATCTTGATTTAAATTTTTTTATATAAAATTTAGTTAAACTTAAATTAAAATTAAAATATATAATTTAATATAATGAAACTAATGAAACCAACCATCTAAATTATATATTTATTTTTAAATAAATTTAATTAATTTAAAGTTTTTAAAAGATTATATATTAATGAAAAAAATAAACATACATGCTAAATTATCAAATATTTTTTAACAAATATTTTGGTTAGTTTAAATTATAGTGAAGTAAAATAAAATAAAATTAAAAACTTACATTCTTTATTATTAAATTAAATATTTTTAATAAAAACTTATAAGAAAAATATAGTTTAATTATATAAAATACTTACGATATATAACTTTTTTTTTAAAATAAAAAAAATATAAAATAATCAATTTACAATTAAAATATATAAGAAGTTTTCTTATAATTGAAGTTTACTTTACCACCTAAAAATATATTTTTTTTAAAATAAAAACTTGTTATATTAAATTATAATAAAATATAATAAATAAAATTATTAAATAAATCTCACTTACTTTCTATATATTTTATATTTTTTTTATAAAAAATATATATATATTTATTCAAGTATAAATTACATAAAAATTAATTAACGTTAAATACATAAATAACAAACCTTCTATATTAGTTAAATAAAAAAATTTGATTTTATTAATTTCAAATTATAATAAAAAAGGTTGGCTAATCAATAAAATAACTTGCCACCTATATTAAAGTTAATATTCTAAAATAAATTAAAATTATTTAATTTAAACGTAGATTATTAATTTTAATAACTTACTGACTAAAACCATTAAATTTTTTTTAGTAAAAAATAGTTGTAATTTAAATGTAATAATCAATAAAATAACTTACAACCTAAATTATTGAATAAATTATAAATGAAATTTTATATAAATTAATTAAAATAAATATATTGTAGATACTCACTTTCTATAATAATATCATATCAATCATTAAATTATTTTTTAAGTAAAACTTAGTTCGTATGAATTAAAGCTAATCAATAAACTTCATTTACCAACTATAATCATTAGATTTTTTTAAATAAATAATTAGTAAAGTTTAAATTGTAGTGAAGGATATTGTTAGCCATTAACTTACTATCTACATTTTTAATAATAAAAGTTTAGATTAATTTAAATTATAATAAATAATAATAATAAAAGAATAAATAGATGAATTTAAATTATAATAAATAATAATAATAAAAGAATAAATAAATAACTCACCGTCTTTATGGATGAAGTTTTTTAATTAAAAAGTATTGAATTTAAGCGTACAAGTATTAAATATCGTTAATCAATAAAAATCACTTACTTTCTTGTTGATTTAACAAACATTTTTAGAAAATAAAATTAATTGGGACTTGAATTAAAAATAAAAAAAATTATAATTAATGGATAAAGTAACTTACTACCTAAAATCGAATAAAAATTCGTTTTAATTTAAATTAAAATGAAAAGTATAATTTAGATATAGTTAATAAAATGACTTACGAACTGCAATATTATCAATCATTAAATATATTAAAAAAATTTGATAGAATTTAAATTGTAATAAGCATAATTAAATAGTTATATCTTACTCCCTTTAGCATCATCAAAATTTGTAAAATTAGTTAAATTTAAATTACATAAATTAAAATATTATAGAAAATTAAATGACTTACATTCTATAGTATAATAATATTATTAAATAAAAATTTATTTTTAAAAATAATTGCTGATTTAATAAACAACCATATCTTTTTATCATATATTAATAAAAAAAATCAAGATGTTTATTTACTTTTTAATCCTTCTAATATATGTAATATTACTATTTTTAGTGAAATAAATTAAGTGAAGGCAAAGAATTAAATTATTATAGGTTTACCTTCATCAATCGAAGCTGTTTCAAATGTCTTGTCTTTGTTTTCTTCTAATGATGTATTATTTTTTTATTTTCTAATAATTAAACTAACTTGTTTTTTTTTGGTATTTTAAAATTCATGCTTACCTAATTTATCCATCGGTAAAATATTTTTTACTCTGTTTATCTTATAGTAATTATTAAAAATTTTGTTTATCAAGAAGAAAAATAAAGACAAAAGATATGACCTTTGCTTATTTTTATGGCTTTTTATGCTTCGCGAACTACTTTGCAATTAAGTTACACAAATATCTTACCATTTATAGACAATTTTTACAAAGACGGAACATATCAATTGTCATTTTATAATGTACACGTGTCAATTGTTTGTTCAACAAACTCCTTCAGACATGTGAATGTATATATATAATGTGGCTAATTTTAATAAACCAACCTTACTAACACTAATCCACGGGTGGCGTCTGTGACAAATAACGAATGACAAATAGGCCAGTAAAAAATGAAACATGGTGGGTGTGACGCGGAGTGACAGCTATATATGAAAGTCACATGATCCGAGGATTTTTTATGGTTCATCAAAAGATAATCAAAATAAACATATGCAATCTTAAATAATCTTTATATTATGCACGTGAATCTTATATGTACAGTACAATTAGTTTATTTTTATATATTGGACAAAGTGCGAAAGGGGGACCGGTCGGGTCGTGTTTCAGAAAAACTCGAATCATGTAAGCATTTACATAACCTGAATGACCGATTATAGTTTAACTCGAATTTTACCGAATTTCGATGTATATTCTATCGAGTCTTTTTTATAATATTTATTATATAATATTTATTTAATAGAGGAACTTTTCACGGTAAGTTCCATCTTGATCATTCTTGTAATCTTTCTCGCTTCTTGCAGGAACAATTAACAGCAAGCGTTGATAGAAATACGATTCTCCACTTCTATATTGAGGAATCAAGAGTTCTTTTGTGCTTTTCAGTATGTAATTGGATAGCTCATCTGTCGGGAGGTATTACGGTTTCATACATCGAATTATCTTAATTCAAACACAAGCAAAAATCAAAAGAAATATTCGAACCATCCAACTTAAATTTAAATTTCAAATTTATTATAGTTGAGTATGATATAAGAGAAAATTTTATTAAAACTAAATAGGTTTTTTTCCGATAAATCTGTGCACTTTATAAGAGGTCTTAAATTTAATCATTTCCTCTTCGAGATTACTTAATAAATTTAAATATTCATCCTCATCGATTCCGATAACTTGACAAAGTTGAGGCATCATCCTTTTAAATGATAATATAAAATCGTGAATTGCCTATAATTAAAAGGTTTGATGAATAATTTTTTCGTAAAGGAAAATAAAGTGAATTTATATAAATAGTACATACCAAGTTGCCATATCTACCATCCCAAAGATTACATTTTACATCAAATGAATGGATTTCTATAAAATTAGCCTCCTTCAAATATCCTTCCATGTAAGGACATATCAATATGTTTGTTTTATTGATTTCAAAGTATCTAATAACTTTTATTTTTATTAAACATTTAAAAAGAAAATTTATTATTATCATAATTATTTTATTTTAAAAAAAGAATAGGAAGAAGAAAAGACTATATTCTTACACCCATCAATAATTATCTTTAGACAAGGGCCTTTATTGATCATATTATAATCAAATTCTTGCCACTCAATGTATCCACCAGGTCTAAGAACCCTCAAAGCCTCAGGTAGTAGATAATTTTTCCACAATTTCTCACGGAAAATTGTTAGACTAAATCGTAAGAAGTTAAAAGTCTCATTTTCATACGGTAAAGTTAAAGCATTTTCCTTTGCAAAATTTGCATTAGTAGGCTTTACTGCTGATGGAAAAATTGACAGCCGGTCAATGCCCGTAAATTCGGATTTTGGATAACTTAAAGACATTTCAAGTATCCATTCTCCCGTACCACAGCTAATAATTTAAAGATTCGGTAAAGTCAATATAAACAAGTTCAAAACCAGTTTTACGCACGATTAGACTTACGCAATGTCAAGCACTTTTCCACCCGATGTAAGAATGTCATGAACCGGTGCAACGAAATTGCATTGCCACATGTATCTAAGCATATAATGCCGCAATTGCATATGACTGACTGACAAACATAAAACATGTTAATTCATCTGGCAATAATCTTAAAACACGAAGCTTTTATTACATACTTTCTTCAAATTCTTCTTCACTTGGCAAATCATATATTTTCGATTTATTACTATGATCTGGTGCGATAAGATGCTTTGAAGATGAAGATGTTGATTCCATTTTTGAATATTAGAAAGAAAAAAATTATTGTTATTAAGTTTAAAAGTTTATTTTTAACAATTTTAATGAAATGTAGAAAATAAAATTCAAATCATACTCGTTTTGACACTTTAAATACTGATTTATAGACTTACTTTTTATGACCTTTTTTAATCAAAAAACAAAAAATAACAAATATAGTCGCTAATATTTATTTTAATTATAAAGGAGAAATTAATTCCGAAAATACTTTATACTGAATATTAAATAACAATCCGATAAATTTATATGTATTATTCTTCTTCAAATGATGCTATTGGTTGAAACTAAATATTTTTTGTTGTCCCCGCTGGTCTTTAACATTTTATAAATTATCAATTGTAATCGAAAATTAGGTCTTTTGAAGCACTAAATGATTATTAGACATGAAAAACAAGACAACGGGGGAATTTTCGTTTCTCTTGAAAAATAAAAAACGAATATTATATCTATATATTTACAGTTTATAATAAAATTATTTGGTTCATTTTTTTTTTTTGACTTTCGATGATGTTTATCACATGGTCACAACGTCATATGTCAAATATAAGCAATCACATTGGTTATTACTACTTGTAAAACGGGGGCTACTAACTCCGTTGATAATGAGGTCTATTTATATACCTTTATCGGTCGGTTTGAGTCTCTTTTATATTTGTCAGGCTCGTAAAAAGTAAATCAGGAATATTCTTTTCACAGATTATCACTATTTTAGTAAGTCATGCGGATGGGTTCTCAGAATTTTGTTGATCAAAGTTTAATGGGTCGAGAACATGATCTGCAAATTGCACTAAGAGGGTTCTAAAAAAAAAATTTTTTTTTTTCGAAAGTATGACTTAATAAATGTCATTTGTACTTTTATCATGTTATATAAACTATATCGTTCATTTTTTTGCAAAAAATGCGCCAAATACATTATCGGTCAAACCTGTAATTCTCCGAATTATAATAGGACTTGATCGTTCGGATTTTTGATCGGGTGCTGACGAACTGACCTGATCAGACCGATATTTTTTAAAAGAAACCAATACATGCCCTTAGAACCTGGTTTAATACCTAAACTAAACGTTATGGACTTGGGAATAACTAAAAAGCCGATCAAAATTCCTAATTTGTTTATTTATTTGTTTACCAAATAATATTTAGAAATTTCTATATAGATGCACTCACACACTGTAAATCTTTATGAACAATTTGTACTACAGCTTTTGCTCACTATTTTTATTCGCATTTCGTAAAATTGATTTTGAACTAGCTGGTTGCGGTTATACTTTTGGGTTATAGACCAAACCAGTTTTGGTAAGTCATTCTTGAGTTCTTTTCTAAGAAATAAACAAACCTTCATCTTGTCAATCACCTTCATGAGAATTACTTTTTCGCAAGTTCAACTATTGTTTCTCAAATTTAAAGAGGGATTTCTTTCAAGAAAAATAAATTTTTTATTACGTTTATGGTTAATGACATAAAAATTTTATCAACTATTTCGCAAAACTCTTAATTAATCTTTTTAAGGTTTGTTGCTGAAATCTATTAAAAAAATTCCCTTTGTTGCTTTACTGAATTGTCGAAATTATATTTCATTATAGTTCGGAGCGTGGCGAAGGACTATATATGTTGCGCTTTCCAAAATACAACTACCGTAAAGAGACAAGAATACTTCGACAACCTAGAGTCCTCAAAACTTAAGTCTATCTAAGGACTCTAATAATAATATAGTGTATTTTCATAGAAATTCGTTTATCAACCAAATTCTTCAGGATCAATCATACCATTATGCCTATTCACATCATAGTGATGTATAAAAGTTAGATCCGTCAGGATTAACATAATTAAAATAGCTGTCTAAATTACTTTATTAATATCTATCTAATTACTGTCTCATAATAAATCTTTGCATGTTAATTTTTGATCACGTGCAAAATTAAACCAATTTCTTCAAAAATAAGTTTCTTTACATCAGTTTATTGGTGCTGAAAAAAACAACTTGTAGTTGCGGTGGTATACGTACCTCCAGTCAAAGAACTTCACAATTACTGAAAGAACGTGACTATTTGATAAATGATTTATCGTGCATGGTCTCTCTATTCGTTTGGCAAATTCTAATTAAGACAATACCGAACCTATAATATTTATGTATTTTTTTTTCTGGATCCACTAATAGGAGAAAATTAACTAACAAAATTTGGTGATAACAAGAAATATATCAATTTTGTAACTTCAAATTCTGTTGATGATTTCTTTAATACATTAAAATCCAGTCAACCCTTATTGAAATAATTTGCCAATACGTAAACTTTTTATTTGATAACTTTGCAAGGATTTATCCGCATTAGTTCGCATCATTCATCGAACCTTTCTATAGAGTTCCATCAAAAATGTTCTTTCTCCTCAAAATTTCTTCGGTGCTTCGCAAAGTTTTGTTTGAACAGCTAAAGTCTACCTCACCTCCAAATTTTGCTATTTACCGTCATTGATTACAAAATTCACTTCGAGTTTTAAAGAAATTAAATACATATGTCCGATATATAGTTTGAAAATATTATTCGAAAATTTTTCAACTCGAACCAACTGCTAAATTTTTTTTTTTTAGGTAAGCGGCCAAAAGTATGCCGACAAAAACAGTAACGGCGATGACGTTAATTCGGTTCATATTATGTCTCTACCATGTTATGAAATTTTGTAATGTGCAAAATTTTAATAAATTTCACGAAAATATCTCATCTGAACTTTTACAATGTTTTTAAAAAAAAAAATTAATACAAAATTTCTTTTTATTTTGTTGAACTTTTCACAATGATTTTAACTACTACTTTGGCTTTCAGGTAGTAACAGCACATAAAAAGAAATTCAATATCCTCATGGTATGTTTAATATTATTTCTTCAAAATACTGAAATTACGAACTTAAATTTAATTGAATTTTCTCCTTCAAATAAAGGTTAAGAGAGAAGAATGATTTTCAATTATTATAAAAAAGATCATCAGGTAAAATTCAGAATAATTTGGAATCTAACCCCTCATTACTTTTCGTATGTATAATTTTAAAATTTTCTTGAGGGATATTATTAATATTCGTAAAAAATTTTAATTTTAATCAATTAAACACCGTTTGTATTTTTTCTGGTTCATTACCAACAAAAAATAAAAACAAAAAATAAATATCGTTTGATTATTTTATTTTTAACAATTCAAGACTTTTACATCGTAATAGCGGTAATCTGACATCACAACGGATCGATATTTTATATAATATATATTTCAAAACATAACCTCTCTACAATATGATCTTTTCACTCCATCATTAATTTTTCATTGTAAAAAAAGTAAAAATGTTGTATGGCACAGAGCCTCCATACCAATTATTATTAAAATATTTAAAAATTTACTTAATCAAATAAAATCAAAAGTATTAGGACACGCAAATTTTGATTTTCGGTTCACGTTAACACGGCCGGGGATTTCAATCTAAAAATTTTATATGTAGAACTTTTATCATGCGATTTTGAAGTATAATTTATTGGCGCGAATATTTATGGATTAAAGCTTGTTTTATCGTATTCTTTTATTATTCAACATTTTCTCTGTTTGCTTGATTTTACAAATTTATTTTCTTTGTAATATATCAGTTGAAAATAAAAATATAAAAATAGAAGCAGTCTTCACAAGATGGAAAGTAATTGGTATCATAATGACATGCAGCTTCCAAGCAATGCAATGTGCTGAAATCTATTTTTCAATTAATCTTTCGACGTACTAAATTTTACTTCAAAATCTCAAAAAAACCTTTTATTTTTGTTCCTTTTTTCAACAGGTAATCCTTCCCATTCTTTTAAACTTAATTATGACTTATTCGTACATGTATGATAGGCATTTTGATTTCGAAATGATAAAATGAAAAAACTCGTACTAAAAAAAAAAAGATTTATCATTTCAAGTAATCTATCACGTGATATGGTTTTTTATAATAAAATTTTTTATTACTGTAATAAAAAAATAAAACGGGTAGAATTTTAAAATTTTCATGTAATGTAAAAATGACATCGAAAATTTAGGCGGACCTTTTTTTTTTACTTTAAAATTGTGAAAATTCTCATTTAAGGGTTCTTAATTTTGGAACGAAAAGAGAATATGGTGGTTGTTTAGTTAAATTTTAGTTTAACGAATTATTAATTTTTTTGTAGGACCAAATTGTCTTGTGGCCAAATGGCTTCAGGACACAGAGTCCTTGCCGAATTCGGGTAAAAAGAGGTGGGATTTCGCTTGAGAAAGAACATTTTCCTAGAAATAAAATTAGATAGAATTAGTTTAGAATTTATTTTATTCTTTTCGCATTCATTTGTAACGATAACATAATTAAATACATGTAGTTTAGAAAAACTAGATTTTATTAAAATTTTCAAATTATTTAACTATCTTTGCCGTATTATGTCTTGGAATAATCATTATTCTTCTTTTATAAGTTGATGATGGTTGTAATATACATTATTTTATCCCATCGGTATTATGTATACACCGGTGAAATTTCTTATCGCTTACTCCACTGGTTTATATTAAGTATCATTGTGTAATAATAAAAAGAAAGTTTATTTTAAAACTATTAACATAACATATTTAACTGTCCTATGAATATGTATGTTTAAAATTCTGAATTCTGATTATTCACTCGGAATTTAGTGTTGAAACGTTAAATCTTAAAGTTTTATTAATTTAAAAAAATATAATTATAATGTAAAAATAATTTATATACGCATTAAAATTCTTGTAGTTGATGTATTTCTTTATTGTAAATATAGGAAACATAATTGGCTTCTTGTTTTCTTCATTCCGCTTGGAATTCTTGCACAATATCCATCTGCTTTTAGTTTTATTATAATGTAAATTGCTTCTTCTACAAGACAATGTGATAAAAATTAATTTTGCAAGATAGCAATAAATGCATGAAGTAGCGTGAAAGAAAGGAATAATAATTCCACCGGTGTATACATAATACACAATGAGATATACCTGTTATTCCATATGAAGTTACGGATAACTAGGTTATTCACGGGATATAACATGCGCGTAAGCGCAAGTGATTATTATATAACCCATGCATAAACCCAGTTATCCGTAACTTCATATGGAATAACAGGTATGAATTCTATTTGAAACTTCTAAAGTTGATATGTAACTTGCAAATAAATGGCCTTTTTTTTTTTTTACAAGTAATCATACATTTTTTGATGATGCATTATTTTTCTATAAATAAGATTTAGTGGAAGGTTACTTTAAAGTTACTTGCATCATGACAGATGGATATTCCAGCCAGTTAAAATATGCTATCCGTTAATTGGATATTTAATCTCTTGCTATACAGTAATTAAAGTCCTACCTAAATTATGTCCCGTAAAAGCAAGCGTTAATTTATAATTTATTATACTTGGAATCTCATAAACTTTTTAAGAACCATTCTCGCGAAATTTTTCTCAAGTCATAACGAATTGATCTATTATTACGTGTCGTGTCTATATTTTATTGATAGACTTATGCTAGATCATTTTTTTGAAAAAAATAATTTATAATAAATAAATTTATGGTTCTTGTTTCTGTAAAGGTTTATTCGATTGTTTATTACTATTTAGGTAAAAGATTACGGTCAATTCAAGTTTAAATTTATTATGGAAACTTCTATCAAGTAAATTTTTTATAAAACCAACTTGATAAATTTTTTTAAAAATAAATTATACGAAAGTATAGTAATATAAAATAGTGAAGAACTTTTATCGTGAAATTTTCTTTTATTTTATTTAGCGACTTAAAATCAAAGTTCTGTAATATCTAAATAAGGAATGAATTCTAAATACAACAATAATTTTTTTCTTTTATTTATTATTAGAGCAGTATAATGAGATGTTATGTTTGTAATTTGTCACCTGTATCGCGATCCTATTTGTTTGATTGTGGTTTGAGAACTTATATGCATATCGCAAAGATTAGATCAAGTAAATTTTCATGAGAATTAAAAAAAAAAAAAAAAAACAACTGCGTCTCAAAGTTAATAAACCTGTGTTAAAGCTGTGCCATTCGTAAAACTTTAGTCCTTGTAATTTAACATCGCATTCGGATCTCTGATTATAAATTCACCAATAATTCTTTCAAAATTTTGTTTATATGTAGAAATTTATTAACAAATAAAGACGATTTAATGTTTTATCCAACTATTAAAATTGTAAAAAAAGAAATAAATAAATGTTAAATACAAAAAAATTTAATTTGCATAATAAAGATTCATAAAAATATTCAAAGCCTTAAAAATACTATTTCTAACAATAAGGCCAAAATATCCAACAGGAGATGATATTCTTAATGCGTTTGACCTAGATTTTAAAACATCAGCGGATGTGCGAGTTAACATTTCCTTTTCATATTCTTGAATACAAGCAATATAATTTTCCGAAGAATAATTAAGTAATGCTTGAGAAAGAACATAAGCATCTTCAATTGCATTATTTGTTCCTAATCCAAGTACAGGGCTCATTGCGTGAGCAGCATCTCCTAATAAAGTTACTCGGCTACTTTTCCAAGGATTAACGGACAACGGGTCAACATCTCGCAATTTTCTTCGTTTGGCTGGATTATAGGTTTTAAACGGATATTTTTCTGGATCATTTGGATCAGTTTTAGGAACCAAATCCCATAACTCTAATAAAACATCAGTCATTTCACAATCTGGCCTAAATTTTCGAATTAATTGCTTGACGTGTTTAATTACTGATGCAGGATCATTATCGTCGACCTTGTTTCCTTCTGGTTCTTTGATATCTATTTCGGTCGGATATGCGTAAGAAATTGATACTCTGTAATGAGGTTCATTAAAGTCACCCTTGTTTTTGTAATTTGGATCATGATCAATTGGAATCAATCGAAATACATTAAATGTCCAATCCCCATGAATTCCAAGAGATTTTTGAAATAAACCATCTCCATGAGTTTTCATTAATCTGTCAACAAGACTTTTTTTCACAAGTATATCCGAACTAATATAAGTCACACCATAATCGAATATTTGTAATTCTGGTACCTTTTGCTTTCGAACTACAAAATAAATAAATAAATAAATAAATAAATACCAATTAAATATGTCGGAAAAAAAAAGAAATTATTTTCAGGTTAAAATTTAAATACCCGGAGAATTAACTCCATCTGCACCAATTAAAATGTCACTTGACTCTCGTGAACCATCTTCAAAGATCGCCCAAACGGCATTTTCGGTTTCTTCAAATCCGATGCATTTTTTACCCCATTGTACTGGCACACCTTCTAGCAATACATCTCTAAGCCTATCACGATAACCAATAATAGCACAAAAGTCGTCAGTGATTTTTGACAGTTCATAAACTTCTTTAACCTGTTTAGTTGGTGGTCTGAACATAACATTTCCCAGATGATCGGCGATTGTAATTCCATGAAATTCAACATTTGGAATTGGATTTGGAATCGCTTTTGAAAGGTTTGAGGCGACTGAGGGTGGAATACAGCTTAGAAGAGATCGAACCCCACGAGGGTTTAAACCGATATTATAACCTTGCCATCGATCTATTCAAATAACAATTCAAAATATCGTATGATAAGTTTTATAAATAAAATATAACGATATTATATACTTTTACCTTTAGGGCTAGTTTCACGTTCAAAAATTTTTACATTAAATTCTTTTTTATCTCTATTCTTAATTAAAGCATGATAAAGAGAAAGTCCTCCCGGACCTGCTCCAATAATAATAACAGTTGGAATTTTTCTTTGATGCATTTTAAATGTTATTACCTTTAAAAATTGGAGAATAATTGAGGTTGGGTAATGAAAGAATTTATAAAAAAAATTATATAATAATAATAATAATGACACGAACGAAATTACACTAGCCGATATTTATCCGACATCGAAATTTATCCGATACATATCTTTTTATGGAATAATTGATTGACAAATCAAATCAACAATGACTCATGAAATATTTGACAATCATTCGCCTAAAAAGTAAGTTTTTAGGATCATATCACTTGAAATACAGTAAATATAAATTTATGAAAAAGTTTCATTGCATTAAACATTTCTTATTACGAATTAATTAACAATATCTATTTAATCTCAGAAATGAACTAACCTAAAGAAAAGAAAGGACCCAAATTCAAAAAAAAAAAAAATTTTATTAAACAACGTTCTTTTTTAATCCATAGTCTTGAAATATATTATAATTCATACTGATAAATACAAGCTATTACAAACAGTAAATCAAATCATATGATCCGTAAGGTGGTGGCCTATTTAGTTGCAGCATGATCAACCAAGTGCATTTTTTTTTCTGTAATTCATTTTTTAAATTTAATTGATCAAAATGCAAACTACCAATAATCAGAATGAGTCGGTTGAAGAATATATCTCTAGAAAAAGTATCAAATACTATGAATTTAAACAATTTAGCAATTTTCAAGAAATTGGTACAGGCGGCTTTGGGAAAGTCTATCGTGCAAATTGGAAAAGTTCAAATCAACATTTTGCGTTAAAATCATTTCATAACTTTAGTAATAACACCTTTAAAAAAATTATTCATGAGGTAATTACAAATAAAAGATGTATTTCGGTCTATTTAGTTTAAAATCTTTTGCTAATATTTAATTTAGCTTGAACTTCAACTTGAAGTTGATTTTCATAGCAATATCATCCGATTTTTGGGAATTACATCAAACCAAGGTAAAATTTTTTAAATAATGCGGACATATATATTTGTATTTAACTTTGCTTATTATTTTTAATTTATAATTTTTTTTAAAAAAAAAAATAGATTTAAATGATCAATTAAAAAAATATTGGTTAGTAATGGAATATGCTGATGGCGGTGCGCTTAAAAACTATTTGAAGGAAAATTTCGATAAGCTTGCTTGGGGAGATAAATACAACTTGGCATTTCAGTTGTCTTGTGCCGTATTGTGTTTACATAACGAAGGAATTGTACATCGTGATTTGGTAATTTTACTAATATATATATTTTCCGAATATTACTGTATATAATTAACATTTTTTTTATATGTTTGTAATAGCATTCCAGCAATGTATTAATTCATCAAAGTGTTATTAAACTAGCTGACTTTGGATTATCGAAAGAATTGAAGCAACAACGAATCAGTCAAAAACTTTTGGAGTAATTCCTTATGTTGACCCCAAATTTTTAAGCAGACGAAGAAATGACAATACATCACCACAATTCAAACTAAACGAATAAAGCGACGTTTACAGTGTTGGTGTACTCATGTGGGAGATATCGAACGGTCTGCCTCCTTTTTATATTAAGGATGAAGAATACGATATAAGTTTAGCTATCGAAATTTTGGGAGGACTTAGAGAAAGGATCATTCCTGGCACACCCGAAGATTATGTGAATATCTACACTGGTAAATATATAATTATAAATTATTTATAATATATAATGATGATTAAAATTTTATCTAATTTCAGGGTGCTGGGATAATGAGCCAGATAATCGTCCATCAATGAATCAAGTAGTTGATAAATTAAATGCAATTGTTTCGAAAACAAATATAAAAGAAAATAATCAAATGAATAATTACGCATCAAAAAACTTCGGAGCTATTTCTAACGTAAATAATTCATTAGAAGATTCTCAAATTATTCGATTTGATCAGATGAATTATCAAAAGAATAATTATGTTTCAAATAATTCTGAACTTATTCAACATTTTGAGATATTATTTATGATGATATTATTGAAAGTTTAAGGATTACAGAATATAATAAGGATGACATATTAAACGCCTTAGGAGGGTTACAAAGGTATCGAAAATTAACGGAACTTGACTGCTCTGGTACTCCGATAACTATCCTACCAACATTACCCAACTCCTTAAAAATACTTTATTGCTCTTATACCAAAATAACTATCCTACCAACATTACCCAACTCCTTAACGGAACTTTATTGCTCTTCTACTCAAATAACTATCCTACCAACATTACCCAACTCCTTAGCTTATCTTTATTGCTATAATACTCCGATAACTCTCCTACCAACATTACCCAACTCCTTAATAAAACTTGATTGCTTTAATACTCTAATAACTAGCTTACCAACCTTACCTAACTCATTAATTTATCTTAACTGTAACAATACTCCAATAACTAGCTTACCAAATGTACCCGATTCCTTAAAATATATATTTCCTAAATCTTTAAAAGACTCAATATAATAACTCCCATACTAAAGTTAAATAGGATTATTTATCCTTTTTAAGTATTCATTAAACTTTGAAAATTTAAAGAAAATAACAAAAAGTATTTGTATTGCAAAGGTTTTTATTTGGTTCGTCTTTATAAATATTTTGACTGTTAAAATTTTTCATGATTTTAATCATGTTCTCTTTATTCGTTCTATTCTTTAAATTATATTTAATAGTTCATCTTTTTAGATTTATATTATTAAAAAATTAATAATATACTTTATTAGTATTTTATTTTAATAAATAAAATAAATAATATTCATATTTAAATCGAAACTAGTTTAAAGAAATTTTTGAAAAAATAACTTTATATCTGAATATTCAATTATATTTTCAGGAAACCTAAATTTAAGTTATACAAATTTATTGAATCGTAAAATAAAAGGTATTTCTTAAAAGTTTAAAAGTTGTAAAACACATTTGACAGACTAGATTTATTTGATATGTCCTTTTAAGTAATAATATTCGAACCTTCATTGTCTTCATTGTGGAAGGGAGCACAAGGGATAAATAGCAAATTTCTTCAATAAAGATAAAAAGAAAAGAAAAAAGATTGATAATGAACCATATAAATTATTTTTATCTAAAAAAAAATTCTATTTATTTATATTAAAAATGAATCAAATGGCTGGAACTAATTCTAATCAATCATAATATGTTTCAGCTGATGAGTTTGATGCATCAGCACTTGAAAGAAATTACTTCTATATTTTGATATCATAAACCTGATAACGCATGTTACACTCGGTTAATACATTTATTTTTTTAAATAATGTTCAATATTTAGTCTTTGATACATTGTGAATAATTGAGTCTTTAAAGATTCTAAGATATATCTCTTTAAAATGCCAGATATATCCATGACCTTTGCGATTAACTTTCACTCATGGGGAAATTCAATATAGGTACATTTAAATCCTGAATTTTCATTATCATTTGGATTGGTTGGAATTAATAATGTAGCATCGTATAACTTAATACAATCAGGCATACTGCGTAACGTTATAGACTTGTGTTGTGAAAGCGCATGAAATTTTCAAGATTACGAATCCAAAAATAATTATTTGATAATGGATTGGTAAGTAATTAAAAATCGTTGCATTTATACTTTGATTTAACTTATATGAAGCATATTTACTTTAATTTTACGGATCAGGCACAATTCATTATCAACATGGATAAGGAAGAAAGGCTAAGATAAGGGTGATATTATAAGAAATATCATCAAATGTCTGGTGCCAGTTCTAAATGTTGGCATTTATAAATTTAATTAATTGATGAATTCCATATCTTCTCTTACTTAATAATATTTAATAAATTTTCGTGTTATAGTCAATACATGAAAGAGGATGGTTTAATAGAGATTAAACCAGAAAACATTCTTGTAGAGAATAAAAGTCCTCTTGTAATATTCTTAATCACGGATTTTGGAATGAGTAGCAAAATAAGCTCAAATCTAAATGATAAAAAGACTCCCTATTATTTTGTAAGTAAATAATAACTTTTAATTTATTTTTAACCGTCTAAAATCTATTTATATTTAAGGTGTACCGGGGTTTGGCATATTAAACCATAAAATGAATCCGCAAATGGGACAGGAAATACCTGTTGCAACCTGTGAAGTTAATTTTGAAAGAAATATTGATGGAGAGGCGATAAAGGACAGGGATAAACCAATAATTAACTAAATGATAGAGAGAGGACAGATCATGCAGATAGTAGTTGCGGAATTAATAGAGATGCCTTAAATGGGATGCGAAAGAGCGAAAATATAGTAAATATAAATTTTATATTCTCTAATATATTATCCATAGGAAACTAATACTAATTATTAATTTTATTTTTATTATTTAGAAATGCAAATTATTTAATGAAAGGGTGGGAAAAGATAACAATGAATTAAATTTTAATTAATTTCATAATTTGTTATCGTTATCCTATCGCAATTGTTAGTTTTTTCAATTTTGATAATTCTCGAAACAAATTTCTGTCTAATGGATAAAAAAACAATTTAATAGCACTTTAAATTTTCTTTAATCTTTTAATCTTTTAGAATGTATAATAGATGACAAAATTTGTTGAATTCGTATCGATAATTTACAACCATTATTTTTTTTTTAAAAAAAAGTCTAATTTAAGGATATAAAAGGAATTTAATTAAACCAATTAATCGCCTAATGATTTAAATATTACGTATGAAAGTCACGACACATTTGATTAAGGATAATTCAAATCCACTAATATATTAAAAAAAAGAAATAATAACTTCTTGTAAACAAAAAATTACGACAAAAAATATAAATAAGATTCTGAGTAACAATTTTATCTAGATTAATAAATGAAAATTTTGTTCGATATATTGTGAATAGAAACGCATCATCAAACTATTTTTCTATTGATTGATAACTCCTCCACAAAGCCACACAATCTGTCACAAAAAATCCCTCACCATAATTTCAAAAAAAAAATGAAAAAGCTTGTATTAAAGTGACGCAATTACATGTGACTATACTTTGTATAATGGGGAGGAAAACCAGTACGGTACGGTTCGCTGGATCAGTACAATACAATTTTGCAGCTCGGTAAGATCCTACGAATTAACTGTCTTAACTGATTCGTCTTAAAGTCTTAGCCATATGTATCAAGTTATTGGATAACCTATTATGGCTGAGAATGTTCTACGTAATTATATACGTAAATGCACAATATCAAATTTTGAAACCACTTCAATAATATCATTTTTTACTATTTTCTTGACCAACAAGAACAAAAAGAAATGTATTTATTATAAGATATTTTTTTTTGATCGCTTTATTTGAACAATCTTTATTAAGGACATTTTCTATTTCATACTATAAAACAGTACAGTACATACATTTAGAAAGATGTGGAGATGATGTGTTTTCTCAGGCATATTCTATGTGAGTTATTAAGCTAAAAATTCACATCCAACACATCATCAATTTTATTTTGTTCTTTTTTTTTCATCTCAGGATGAAAGAAAGAGGCTAAAATCGAAAATATGAGGTTTGTTAAGATTATAATTTATTATTTATTAATATATTCAGCCAAAATGGAATTCAAAGAAAAGAAAAGAATAATTGGGAAAGTGGAACTTAAAGAAAGTTTTGCGTTACTAGATAGGATGATATTACTTTTTAAACGTTGACAGAGCTTTGAAATATGTAAGTGCAATATAAACTTTATTACATGATATTCACATGCAATTAATTTAATTAAAATATAACTATCATTGCATACTGGAAATATGATCACTCAGCAAGTTTATCGCATTGCGGTTGTGATAGAATTACAGTAAGTCTGCGCTTTTAACTATAACGATAAATTTCAGGGTTCGATAAGGACAAATATCCTGGATAAAACTTTAGGAATTCCGATTTTAATTTGATTTATCTTTGATTGAAATTTGTGCTCATAATTTTGTTTTAAGTTTTTATTTTAACGCTATGATGAAGATAATCAAGGTACAACAATTCACAATCTTTCGAATTCTTGTATAAATGATATAACTTTTCAATTTTTGGTTGTACATCTGAAAGTTTGTGTAGAAAAAGAAATTGCTTTCTACACAAATATGAATTTGTAAAAAGGCTTGGAGGGTATGTATTTTATATAAAATAGTTTTTATATTTATAAATTTTCATCTAATTTCTTTATTTTAGTGGTGGTTTGGATATGTCTTAGGAACATTACGATTGACAATTATTTGATGCTAAAATTTCGAAATCTTCATTGCAAATGGATTACACCTCAATGAAATTATTGTAAGACTTGAATAGCGTTTCGGGCGAATCCATTTTCTTAAATCTGAAACATTTAGCCCAGTGAACTTTCAGTTTCGCATTATATATCCGAACCTTAATTTGGAACCGTTTTGTATTTGGCGAAACTACTATAGTTCGCCCGAAACATTATACTTGGTAAGTTTATATATATATTTTAACTTGATATATAAAAATTTAAATAATATTTATTTTTATCATTACAAGATAACGAATCAAAAAATAGCTATTTGATAATGGATTGGTATGTAATTAACAAATCGTTGCATTTATACTTTGATTTATTTTACATAAATGCATTTTTCACTTTACATTTAAAGAATCAGGCACCAATCAATATGGATTAGGGTGATATTATAAGAAATATCATCAAATGTTTGGTGCCAGTTCTTAAAGTGTGCATTTATATTTTTAATTGAATTGATGAATTCTCATAATCTTCACTTGCTTAATAATATAAAATATATTGCATGTTCATAATATATACATGGAAAAGAATGGCTACATAGGGATGTAAAGCCAGAAAACATTCTTGTAGAGAATGAAAGTCCTCTTATATTATTAATCACAGATCTTGGAATGAGTTGCAAAATAAACTCAAATTCAAGTGATAACAAAGGCACACTATTATTTTGTAAGTAAAATATTTTTAAATTAATTATTTAATTTATTTTTAGCCATCTAAAATCTATTAATATTTAAAGTGCATCTGAGGTTTGACAGAATAAATCACAAAATGAATCCACAGATTGGTGGTCCATATGACACCTTATTTATTACTGTTAGTAAGAAGAATACCTGTTATAACCTATGAAGTTAGGTTGAAAGAAATATTGATGGATATTGAATACAACCTACAGATGATAGAGGATGAATAAAAAACATGCAGATGGTAATCGAAATGCTGTTGATTTATTATACTATTAAAATAATAAAATATTATTAACATTCAATATTTCATAACTTTAGTTGCGGAATTAGTAGAGGTATACCTTAAAATGGGATGGAAAAGTACGAAATTATGGTAAATAAAATTTTTATTTCTTTAATATATTATCTATAAGAAACTAATACTATTTTTTTATTTTTAAAAATGCAAAAATTAATGAAAGGGTGAAAAAAAATGAGAGAAATTCATAAGTTGTTATCCAACCACAATTGTTATTTTTTTTATTTTGATATTTTGATAATTCTCAAAACAAAATTCTGTCTAGGATATATCATACAGCTTCATGTGACCATAATGTGATATATTTTTATTATATATTAATTAAAGTTTAAATGATCCGATAACCTATATATATACAGTAAGACCTCTCTAAATGCACACCCCGTAGGACTATAGTAAATGTGCATTTAAAGAGAATATGCATTTAAAGAGAGAAATTTTGTATGATTTTTACGTACTTGAGGTTATGTGGAGTTTATATTTATAGAAAAATTATATAATGCATACATTTAGGAAGGATGTATTTGAAGAGGTCTCACTGTTTTTATTTATCTTAAGAATTTTTTAATAGTATGCATCCAATTGAATATTTGTAATTCTTTAAATTCTTGAAATTGGTAGTGACTTACTTTAATGTATAATAATTTTTGAAATGCCAATATTTAAATTTATAATTCAACTTAAAATCTAACTTTATTTGTCTTTTAATACAAATCATGCTAAAAGTCTCATCCAAGTATTAGTTTAATTACTTATTTAGCTTGTAGTATTTCTGGTCTTGTTGGAGCAGAATAGACAAATTTTCTCTTGCTATAATTAATAATAAAACTTCATTAAAATTAAATTTTATCAATGCAAAACTTAAATAAGAATTGGCTTTTTCTGTGGTGATTCCTTTAATAACAAAAAGTAAAACTTAAGTTTATATAAAATTATTTATTATCAAATGACAATAATATTTATAGACAATAAATTTTGCCACTGATGTAACAAAATTAAACCAATCATTTACTAACTATGTGAAAGAAAGTGATATTGCTCTCCTCTATATAGACAAAAAAGGGGGTTCTGGAACAAATTACCAATTCACTTCCAAATTAATTATAGCTATACAAATCCATTATTGAATTCAAAGCTCTAATGCATTTTGACTCAATTCTAGATGATGATATGGAACTTGGGTTGGAATTAACCTTCAGTTATCAAGAATTATACTGTTTGATATAGCCATTCTAGCCTGATTTTAATCCCAAATAATATATCAAAAATTTTTTACTATTCTGTTTGCCTTTGGAGGGGCCATCGAAAATCAAAAAATAAAATGACGTAATTTGAGTTGGGCCTGACATTGCAAACCCAATATGAATAATAACTTTTATGTTATTCTGCTTGCCTCTAGAGGGGCCATCGAAAATCAAGAAACAAAGTAACGCAATTTGAGCTGAACCTGACCATATAAGTCTAAAATGCATATCAAAGTCAAAAAGTCTAACCAAAAAAATTCGTATAACTAAGTCTATCAAAAAAATCTAACCAAAAATCGCATAGCAAAGTCTATCCAAAAAAATTAACCAAAAGTTAATATATATTCTGAGTTTTTTAAGGCTTTATCACATAATCTATTATAGTATTGAATCATATAATAACCTTTAACATGTGATGGACATCTAATTGGCTAGACATAATATAGAGTATCTATTTTTTTGCCAGAACTTTAAAGGATAATATCTTAATATCCACTGATTGGATTTATGCGAATTTAGGCTTGTTGGAATAATCAGAACCTGCTGAATCCAAACGTTCAATCTTCATTAAAATTGGGCTAGTAGATGTCGAGATATTTGCGTTCCATTATCATTACAGCGAATCAGACTTTTATGGCTAATTATCATTATAAGAAAAATATATTGTGCCACTGTGACTATGGTAGTCACAC